TCAAGGCGTTCCTCCTTATTAGAGATGGTCGTTCCATTCTGATGTTTGATGCTTTCACTCACAGGTGGTTTCCGGGGACCGGTCGCACGGATCAACTGAAATAATCTCCGGGCATTACCGGCTTTCTGTATGCAGCAAGTAAGGCGACCCGGCTGATGGCACCACGCGACGGCCGATGTGGCATGAGAATATTGTTAGGTGTGTAGGTCATGGTTGTACGAGGGCTGGGATACTGCCAGGGCGCCCACACCTAGACAGGAGGACGATTAGGGTCCTCAACCAAAGCCTTTGGCTCAAAAGCCTAACCGCAAGGCAGCGGTGTTTGGCGGGAGATGCAAATGCATACAGAACAAGTCGCCACATGTTCCGAGCATATGAAAAAACCGTTCGCTCTCGGACGTCAACCAAGACTACAGCTAGAAACGTCATCATACTCCTGCTATAGTCTGAGTGGCGACACTAAATGTGTCAATGGCCACTAACGAGAAGCATTTGATTTGTCTTAGATGTGTACCGAGTGAAAACCGGCAGTACGGATAGGTACAAATGATCGATGCTGTCTACACCCAATAGATCGAGCTCACGAGCTGCAAAGCAACTAACACCACAATCACTGCCTCTACCACACATTAGAATTCCGGGGATAGATGCACTTTAAGGATCGGTTTCCAGTCTCTACGATGTTTTGGCGACTGGACAGGATAAATGGTGTTTACTCTCCAACAGACAGCAGCTCCGAGGCTGAGGAAGATATCTATCAGGATTTGTCACGGTTACTTACCAGTATGACGCACAGATAGTATGATTCTGATAGGTGATATCAATGTCTGTCAGCCGACTAAGACCGGAAGACTGTCATCCTGGAAATCGTTTAGGGGATGACATACCACACAGATAATGGAAGGTGAATTCCTCAGTTATGTGCTGAATATCGTTCGTTTCTAGGCAACAGTTTCAGCGCAAACTTGTTACATGGAGGCCACTGACTATACACTCAGACCATGTAATCAGCTATCAGTGAAGACCTTCAATATAGGAATGTCGTTCATTTCGGTGGACATCGCTTGAATCTGACCACGACATTGTATGTGCTGTATAGCTACTTGCCTTTCCTCTGGAACACACCGGGTGGATCATCGCCATTCAGTCTGTCACACGTAATGCCGCTCTGTAGCCCAACAATATCCACTTTAGTTGATTTCCAGGTTTTTAGATTTCAATCCACTCAGAAAAATGACACGTTGCTGCGGCGCAACAAAGCACCTACTAAGTCGGTTGCATTTTGCAATCCTCAGGTGTGAACCTCTTATGGCTTTATAGTAAAATACCTGGGATAAAAATATACTATCGACAAACTGCAGCGCCTCGAGGTGATCCCTATATTCACAAAATGTCTCTCGAAAACCGCCAGGGCATCTGCCTAGTGGTTATAGCTCTGAGCTACCCTCTGGCATTGTTCTGAGCAGGCTGATCTATCATCGGGAGAATCGGGGTTCTCCCTAGCCGAGATCGCAGAGTCCTTACCTTCACCTTCCGACAGGTGCGAAAACTGCGCCAAGGCTTCCAACTACCAGTGGTATTGCTTCTTTATCTCAAAACTGTTTTTGACTCTTATGATTATCAGAAACTACGGCAGTGTCAATTTGGCTCAGAGGATAAGGGGAGTACTTATTAAAAGAGGTCCGTGATTGTAACCAAACCTTGGCATCTCAACTGCTTCTGTTTATGCTTTGGCAACCTAGAAGCATTCCAGTCCTTGTGCCTCCTTCAAGGTGTATGACAGCTAGGCATCAAGAGAGCGTCACACCCAGACGATCATCACATTATTAGCATTATCATTGCTATTGATATTATTATGGCGGCGTCCGGAAGAATCTTGTCGGTTATGAAGGCTCTGTGTGCCTCCTCCCGTGGACGCATACTTGTCTACAGCGAATTCTCTTTGGATTTCACCACATCCAGTAGTCTCAGGTGGTGCCGTTTGTCGACCTTCGGGATATAAGTAGTCCCCAAGCACTCACCCACGGACATTGAGTGCACTGAAAGCACTGTACTTGTCGGAGCAGACACCTGTAAATAACACAAATCATTCTGATGCACGGTTCAAAATAGGCTTCACACCTGCAAAGTGTACAGCGCTACTGGGATCAAACCGAAATCTCGTGTCTGTGGGTGAACCGATCGATGCGTAGATAATTTCATATGTAGGAGCAGATGCTTAAAAGTCAATGGATTGGTGAAGGATGAAATCACTTCCCGAACTCGGTGAGGGGAAGCAAACCCTTTGCCAACGCCGGCATTTGTGGCATCCACGTTACACCAGTCTGGCTACCAAGGGTACAGTACGCATTATTTAGATGGCTCATCGGTTAAGCCGGGTGGTTTGTGGTTCAAACTAGACCGCGGCATCTCGACTGCAGTAACTCAGTCCTAACGCTTTCTTCGTGTGGCATGGCACTTAAGCATCGAATGGGCATTAAAGTTGAACAGAATTCGTTTGTGCACTGCTGTGGTTCGATCTGTTTACTTTGTAAATCAGAGGCGTGGCCTCCATGTGCAAAGATAACTGAGGACTGTGTTTGAACATCAGCGCATCATAAGTATTACGCGAGTCTGAAAGGGGTAGTAGTGAGGTGCTTTTCATGAAGAGCAACCCGCAGTGGACAGACCAGTTGGTCACAGTGTATGGATTATGCTGATTATACCATATACTTCGTATGCCACGGGACCATTTGTCTCGATCTTTGTCTAACCAAGCTTCGATGGAGACGATCGAGGAACGATGCTTGAAAATCCTTACCAGTCACCTTACCTGCGTTGCTAGCTTCCATGTCCCACATGGGGTACCTGTCATGACTATATAACCCATACCTTTGCATAACCCATTAACTCGTGATTCTCACTCTATTTTCAGCTCATGTACTACAGTTATTAGACGATTAAAGCGTACATTACGTCTTCCTATTCTGTCTCCTTTCTAATCCCGTCCTGCAACTACTCGACTCTCGCAACAGTACCGGGACGAGAAAAACCGACGACCAGTGACGCTGACAGATAGGTCAGTGAGTCAGGCAGGCAGTGACGATCCTGCATTAAGCTATTGACTGGATTGATAGGTTCTCCCATTTTCCGCCATACCAAGGAAACGGAACAACTGAACACCAATGAAATGACCAGACCACCGCCTCCAACACGTGCCTGTCATTATATTAATCTCCTCATCCTCAGCCGTAGCGGCTGGATCCAGCGTTTTATGGGATGGCTGGTGAGTTCATCCAAAGACATCTGCGCCTTCTACTCCTCTTCGAAAATGAGAACGAGGTTTTCTTCACAGGCTATTTGAACATCAGGGTTTTGGAGACCCTCCAGCGTTCGTCTCATTATTTTATCGATCACGAAGTTAAAAAGGAATGGAGAGAGTGGGCATCCCTGACGGACACCGCTTTGTGTGCGGAAGCTTTTGCAGAGCTCTCCGTACATTCTCACACGTCCGGAAGTCTGAGAATACAAAGAACGTATTATGTTTACAAACTTCCGGGGCAATCCTTGGTGGGCAAGCGTCTCAAGGACAGACCGATCAATCGAGTCGAATGTGCCTTGGAAATCCAGGAATACTAGAATCGTGGGTCGCTTATACGTATGGCGTTGTTCTAGCACCTGACGCAGTGTGAAGATTTGGTCAACACAACCCCCACCAGGCCGAAATCCCGCTCGCTGCTCTCGAGTCAGTATTTCGTGAGCCACCGTAAGGCGACGGAACACAAGTGACGCCAACAGTCTCGTTTATGACCGGGTCCAGCTGATCCCTCTGTGGTTACCACACTCAATAAGCTCCCCTTTTTTGAAAATGGGCACTATCGCCGACTTGCCCCAGTTGTCTGGGACAGACTCCTTTTCCCAAATGCAAGCGAACAGATCAGACAAGACTGAGGGTTTCGACTCCGTCTTTGAACAGTGCAGGTGGGAGGTCATCCGCACCAGGGTCTCGGTGGCTTTGGGAGAACGTATGAAGTCGTGAACCTCCGAGGCCGTAGGTGGTTCCAAGTTTACCGTCCAGGGTTCTACTTCACCTGTGAGCTCTGGATGAGTGCCATCTGGTGGCCACAACAGTTCTTGTTCGAAGTATTCAGCACACCCGTCGAGGCTTTCTTTATTCGAGATGGTCGTTCCATTCTGATGCTTGGTGGTTTGACTCACAGGCGGTTTCCGGGGACCGGTTGTACGGATCAACTGGAATAATCTTCGGGTGTTACCAGCTTTCTGGGCTTTTTCCATTTCTTTGGCCTTCTGTATCCACCATACTTCACGGTCGGCTCGCACGCTCACTTTCACTTGACGTTTGATATCTCTTCGCACCGGGTTATGTTCGGGACAGGCTGAGATATTTCTTCGAGATTTAAGTGGTGCCACCGTTCGGTCTGATATCCAGCGCTTTGGTCGTGCCAAAGGCAAAATTCCCAGCACTGTGCCAAGAGGTGGCAACCACGTCCCAGTATGAGTTCGCATCTGATAGTGGAGCGTTTGGAAGAGACTCTAGATGATTCTGGTAAATTCGTCTAACATCCGGATCGGCCAGTTGCCATGCGATTTGTCCGCACTTTACGCGGCTCTGGAAAACGTAGGTTGAAGCGACTCCGGACGAGTGGGTGGTCAGAGGCCACAAATGTTTTCCAAAACGACCGGCAGTGAGTTATTTATTTGCACCATCGGTAACTCATGGCGATGTGCTCGATTTGAGTTGTGACCGGCCTGTCGTTGGAGGGCACCATGTAGCCGGACGACTTCGGCTATTTCGGAAGTTCGTACTGCATAAAAACAGCCTGCAATCAGCACACAGCTGGGTCAATCGTTCCCAATTGTCCGTACGTATCAAGTCCAATCCATGAGTCTCAGATAGACTAAACCCGCCCACTTGTGTATTCATAGCCCCGGCAACCGCCACGATGCTTTTAGCTCGCCGCAGAAGGGCATTCAGGGCGTCATAAAGCCTGCCTTTGACGGCGTCGGAGCTACAGTCAATTGGGTCGTAAGCAGACGCGACAAACAGACACTGATCAGTTTCCCACCTGCGAGACTTCTTCACAGACGTTGACAGACGAACCGCACAGATACGGCTATCAACAGGTATCCAGTCAAGTAAGGATACTTGGTGACTTGGCACGATACCAACCCGTGCACATCCCACCGCAGCAGCCTCTGGATCACCAGAGGTGCGCAGCCGGAAGCGAGTGAAGACTGGCGGAGCGGTTAGCTCAGTCACTGTGCTTGCATCTTGAATTCTCGTTTCTGAGACACAGCACATATCAATGCCAAGCGAGTCCAGTGTGAGTGGAAGAGCAGCTTGTTGTCCTACTTGCTTCAGAGCGAGGACACCGAAGGCGATCAGATAGACTGGGTTTCGAGTCCTTAGGAGTGATTCCGAGATGCCTGAGGATGTCGCTGCCGGATGGCTAACAAATGTTGCTTGCCAAGCCGTTGGAGTACGCACGGAGTCATCAGTCCTAAGCGCTGGGCTATCAATGGGGTGGGGAGAGCGCGAACAAAACTACGTGAAAGAGAAGGAAAGGAGGCGTCAGCAACAGCCTGTCCTCGATTCCACGCTTTACTATATGCAGCGAATATGGTGACCAGGCTGATGACACCACGCGATGACCAATGTGGTATGAGGGCACTGTTAGCTGTAAATCTCATGGTTATACATGGGCTAGGATACTGCCAGTGGGACCACACCTAGACAACAGGACGATTAGGGTCCTCCACCAAAGCCTTTGGCTCAAAAGCCTAACCAGAAAACAGCGGTGTTTGGCGGGAAATGCAAACGCATTACCATTTTTACGGAACACCGCCCAGTATAGCTCGATGGGTCACCCAGGTACACAAAACGTCACACCACAGAAAGGGCCAGTCTCTTCGTGACGGAATAAGACCAGCGTTCAGCACTCTTTTGGTGCCTAATTGCCATGCAACCCGAAGCAGGCACGAGGACTGGGATACTGCCGGACTTCCCAATCCTAGACAGAAGTTGAGATGCAGAGGTCGGTAATTAAATCCGCCCTCTAAACACTGAGCCATCTCGGTTCCTAAAATTTCTGTGCCTGCTTCTGGAACCTCAACATTCGGAATTCTCCCGAGACATTCACTCATAGACAGAGTATGCGGACGATATTGCTCTCCTTGATTCAGATAATTCAAAAAATTTAAATAACCCACATGACTCTGCCACACGGTTTGGAATGCGCTTCACACATGCGAAGTGTAAGGTGATGCAGCAAGAGTTGGTTGGATCAGCCCCAATACTTTCTTTCAGGCAAGCCAATCGATGTGGTAGATAAATCCGTTACCTGGGTAGCCGGATGAAGCCCCGTGGACTGATTGGAAATCAGACTGCTTCACGAATCGGGAAGCTTTTTTAAACCTCCGACACCTTTGGCGCCAAAATGACGTCAGTTTGCATGTCAAGGGCAAATTTTACAATGCGGTAGTGAGATCCATACTGTTTTATGGGTCAGAAACTTGGCCCCTACGCACAGACATAGGAAAACGTCAGTTTTTGATAGTCGAATTTGCAATGTTTAGGTGCGCCAGACGATCCTAAGAAGGCATTCTCCCGCGGTAGATGAATTACTCCCACTTTGTAAGTTATGCTGGTAAGACCAAGTACTCTGCACGCCACAAGACCGTCTACAATACAGAGCTCTTTTCTCCCAACCATGTGCTGAGTAGAAGCCACCGAGAGGTGAACAGTTTATGACCTATCAACGAAGTATGGAAACACTAACAAGTAAATCTAGTCGTGTCGTCAACTGCCACTTCCCTGGATGGGGAACCCGGGAATCAACTCGCTAATGCCTACAGATATTGGCAGAAATGATTCAAATGACTAACGAGCCAGAGCAGACCAGCATGAAGCTCATCATTGAAATCTGCCATCCTGCTGGTGATTGAGTCAATTGAATTGGTATTTGGAGCAGGATTTAACCATCAAAATGCGAGCTCCTGCGTTACGTTTTAATCACTTCTTGATGCTTCAAAATGATTTTTCGATGCAACATAATTCCCCCTGGATGTCCCACGGTTACTGTTATGTTTGTGTAGGTTCTTGTACCGTCAACCTGTTGCAAGTAATAGTAATTCCAGTCGAAAATCCTCGGTGCAAAGATTCGGTTACGACGAGCACAACGGCTGTAAAGTGCACATACGGCGTACAGCGACAGGATCCTGGATTACTGGGAGCTTACTTCGGTCTCGATCCAGACTGTTCGATCGCAGCTGGGTGATTGGTTGGCGACAAGTCAGAAACCACGAAAACCATCGCTTGTTGCTGATTGGCTGATTGTGCTTCGATAGATGTACAGGAGAATAGAAAACCAAGGGGTCAGAAAGCCGGTTCACTAAGCTCTGATTACAAACTCTGGATGAAATTTCAGTCCTTCCACTGCTCAATCTTGGGGGACAAGCAAAATCAGGATTATCCACGTTACGGAGGTGACCGTACGTTGTAGAATGTTGGGTGATTGGGTGATGTGCAGCATGGAATCTGCAGCGTAATCAGAACAGGGTAAATTCTTCTGTACATACATCATGCCTTGCCTGGAAGCAGTGTGGAAAAAAGTGAAAATTATGGAAGGTGAGAGGCTGCGAGCGATGTGTGGAGGCAGAGAGTGATATATTAGTGCTAAGTATTGATAGACGGTGGTCGCCTAAGAGCGGTGTGCAACGTTCTCTGAGCAAGGTTTTTTCAGAATGAAAAGGATGCGAAACTATCCATTTTGTTTAAGTATTGCCTGTACTGAGATAGCTTAATGTCGTTACATCGAAGTTTTTTGCTGTGTTTAACAATGACAAATAGGTCACATATCCCTTAGGATATTGGAACAATGGGGAGTGTGGTAGATCTTTGAAGCCCGCCATATTCTAAGATGAGCATATTTAGACGCATGAGTGGTTCAGTCAAGTCAAGCCTCTAGAGCGCGCAGACGTTTTTCGGCGTTATAACGCTAAGGCCAAGAAAATAACACGAGGCTGTAGTATTCCCTCAATGAACGAAGGAAGGTGGAAGGCGACATGGGATGACTGGCAGCAGAAAATTTTATGGCCTAACAAGTTGACCGCCTTACTGTATGAACGGAGCACAACACAGATGGAGGTTCATATGGGATTTGTGATGCCATTTCTAATTGGAAACTGTAAAACTGCGGGTTTTATTATTTTCTGTAGGAATGATGGAATAGGAGTCATTGGACAACGTTATCGAGGGTTTTCTTGAAACATCTAAGGGGGACCTCTAGACCTTCAAGCCTCCTTAAAATATTAGATTACTGCTCAACATAAACCTGGTTTATTGCTTCGTCATTAGGAGGGCGGAAGGCGAAAATGGACCTATAGGTACTAGGAACAGCTTATGACCCAGCACCAGCCCTCGTTGAGCCTCTCCAAAAGTATGAAGATGGAACGAATCTGGGACAATAACACGAAATTAGTATAACATGCTGGGAGCATATTAATAGTGAGTGACATAGTCACATGAGCAACCGCTCTGATGTTTATAAGAAATTCCGTTGAAGCACGGAAGACGTCAAAATACACTCCACAAAATTGTTGTTTCGGGTGGCGCCGCTTTGGCAAAACCGGATAACATCTTGTGTTCCTAGTGCTGTGTGAAGAATATGAGAGATTTGTCTGGCCATTTTTGGGGTCTTAATGGTGAGCAGACGATTAGGCTGGGTTTTACTCACTACTTTTTCTCAGTATCTACCAGTGAACATACGTCAAGCTATTAAGTTTGTCATCTCCGAGGGTAGAGCGGATAACCACATCACAAGCCTCTAGATTTGTCAAGAGTTCCATCCTCACGGTTAGGACACTTCTGTCTTAAATCGCAGCCTCTGTAGACGCTGGATGTCTGCTTGGGCTTTATGTAAACTGACTCCATTAGTTGCTTATGTAAAGGCGCTAGAATTAGGTGATATCTGAAGTGCGCTCAAACCTGTCCCGCAGGCCATGACAAAATCTCGGGAAACTTTACCTTCTCTAAAGAGAACCACGTCGATATTCCGAAAGGTTAGCGGCTATTTTTCTTCCGATGCAAGTTAAGAGTGTTTCATGAGAAGAGCGTTGTAGTTTAGCCACCCTGCGTAATGGTGTTTCCCAAACTTACTAGATTTACAGCCTTAACAGGCGGTAAAAACCACAGTTTCTATGGCCGTAAACTTCCCGTATCTGTCAGTAATCCATATAAAGCAAGCCGTGAAAGCTTAGTGCCCAGTTTTCTTCGGCGACTAGGAAATACACATTTATCTTTTGGCTGGGGAGATGTGCACTCGGGCAGACGTTGATGTAAGCAATGTTCCACGTGGCTATTTTGTTAGCGATAATAGACGTGGTTGTGCCAATCCACGGAACGCGAAATTAGCACTTGCCGGCCGAAAGACCAGAGAAAAATCTGTGAAGGCTTTCTCCAGTACGATCATCCTCATCGGCATCATCGACGCATGACATCAGTGTTCGACACTGATGAATCACTGCCGTACGAACCGCTGGCACATCGAGATGAACCGTCTTTGGGCGTCCGAAGGCAATAAAAACATGCGTAAATGCCTTATAATCAAAAAATAGATATTCTGACGCTCTACCCTATGCAGCGGGTTGCAATTTTCAAAAAAAGTTCTCTGATTGCTTTCATTTCGTACTGACTCCAACTTTTGAAGAGCTACAGGGCGGATTGCAATGGGCAGTTCCAGATAAGCGATTTTTGTGAAATTTCTGGGGGGAGTAGGAGATCTATAGCCAACGGTTCCTGAAACTGCTTCCTCGATTAACAAAAAACTTTCTCAGGTTGGCGTAGCTCGTCTAAACACGGCATGTTGAAGATATCACGGATTCACGGATTGGCACATAAGATCGAGGCTTTCGCTCAAATTTCTCGGGTTGGTTTTTTGTCGTTCTGCGGCTGTCGCCCACCTGTTTTCCGAGTTATCAGCGTAGAGCGGTACGCCTGCTAGCGCGAGGAATCGCATAAAAAGTCTGTTGGTGCCTTGAGCCAGGTACAAGATGTAACTGCATTAACAGCTCCGGAGGTGATGATAGATTGTTAGAAATGAAACTTAATTTGCTGGCAGCGATGATATAAATGCGTGGCGCTTCCGTAGGTCGAGTTCATGATGTCGTCTGTAAGAGAGAGCAAGGCGCTGTTTGAATCTCGACTGAAAGCATAACTCGACCCCACAAATTATCCTGCCCATGCTTCCTGGTGGAAATGGAAGGCCACGGGAATTGAAGATGAAAAATTCGCCCAAACCTCGCAAAGCCTGATCCTCACGGCTGGCTCACACGACGGTGGTCAAGCAAGTATGGGAGCTTATAGGTACTAAAAACGCACAGCTGCCCGCTTTTGGAAGGCTAGCCGGCTAGCCCACGTATATTTATCTGCAATGACATTTGTCATCCACCTCATATGCAGGAGTCTCAACGATGCACGTCAACATACCCCTACATTCGTTTTATTGCGCACTCTGTCCGTGAATCCGTGAATCCGTGAATACTGCATCGCTTTTCTCCAAGGGCTGCTTGTTGGTTATGAAGATCCTTCTACCGGTTAGTGTACGCGGCCATAGGTCGTGTAAAAAAGGCACAAGCATACTGCATTTGTATGGTCGAATGCCTTACGGGTCCGTTCCATGGCGATGACAGATGAAAACAATCGGAGAAAAGCCTGAGCCTTCTGCTTGCCATTTCCGCCTTTGCATGGGTTCAATCTATAGACACTTCAACGCCCATGACCCGTCGGGATGATTATCATGCGAGAACTCACCAAAAGCTCGCCTACGTTCAATAACATCGCTTCAGATTTTTAAACGTATTTAGCAACAAAATTGCAGAAAACCTACCAATGATCAAGAGTGGAATCCGCCCACTGAAGGATTACTTGTACGTCAATCGAGACATTTGGGTGCCAGTGATTTCTTACATTTTGACCAGAAAATCAGTGATGCAGTATATTTGCTTGTCTCTCTCTCCGTAAACGCCAAGCAGACATGGTGAATTTAGCACCGGAAACTTGCGTGCTGGAATCCCAATAATTATTTCCTTATGTGGGGGCTGACTAGATTTCCCAATGAATTGAACTGATGACTTCTAAGGAGAAGGCTAAATGTGTACCTTTCGGTGATCTTTGATATGCTCGTCTGTTTATTAATTTCAGAATCTGCTGCAGCTGTACTTATTAGATAGAGACGCACCGAGGGTGATAATACAAACCATTTCATTAAAGCGGCCGGTTATCATCATCTGACGAAATCCACCCATCAAGAAATGAAAACGCCATCGCGACGTGACGGTTTGTGTGCCTCCATGACCCAGTGAGATACTTGTGTGAGCCGACCGCATATACCCTTTCCGGGATGGTAAATATGCAAAGTTCTGGCTGACCCAGTTTCCTGGTATTCCCGTCTGGAGTTTGGGATATTTGCGGGAGAATGTCGCTCAAAGGATGGACTACTATGGCAGCCACACCACCTATCGTTGCCACGCGGTTATGCTCGTGATTCGAAGATCTCCGTTGAAGGATGTATTTCCAGTGTCTCAGCCATGGAATAAATCTGAATCACACTTTTTTGAACAATTTTATGCCCCATCAGCCGCCTGATTGCATCAGCCTGCTTCCACCGCCAGGCCGATCTGATTGAATATGTCTACTGCTGATGTTCCATCTATTTATAATTTGTGTGATCCCACTAACGTCACCATGCTGCTAGTGGCTTCACTGTTTCACGGAGAAGCAGTGAAGTACCAGTGTCCTAAGACAGTATTTGTGTCAGTGATGACGCTCTAAAAGAGGGCAGGCAAATTTTGGAACGGGTAGCCGGTTTCTCCACTGGCAGAGGAGACCCTCGTACTCACCATAATTGAACAAGATCTAAGTTGCTATGGTACTCTCTGGAACAGAAAACATCTAGAAGGTACATCAGTTGAGGTGCGCGCATTACGTTTTCTGGTACTATGTACGCCTTATGCCTGCAAGGCGATTCACGTGTATGTCGATTACATTCTGATTACCCTTGGTTGCTCAGTTATGATGCCAGCAAGTGAAAATAATTTCGCATTCGCCAAATTCGGTATCATATTAGTTACCTTTTGATTTTCGGCCAAAACAGTCCAGCTAACCAACTCTTCTATTGTTGCAGGCTGTCGATCATCTTCGCAATCCTGTGTGAAAGTCAAAGGGTAATTTTCTGCTTACTTGTCTGTTTTGCGGACTGACTCCCTCCTCCCTTCTCCTACGTTTTTTCTAAGCACCTAATGTGTTGTGAATTGCCGAACGATCTTGCAACTCTGTACCGGCCTCTGGCGTCCTGGCTCACTCCTTATGGCATACCGATGCCCCTTTATGGAGGTAAGGGAAAATTATCACGACTGTAGTTATGGGTAATCACATAATGTTCCAAAAGATCGTGCTGGAATCCTTTTGAGGTTACGGGAAGCGTCGATGCAGATTGGCTTGCGTTCTGAAAGATGAAGGTATGCCTTCGCTTGATTTGTAGCCTGCACGTAACACATCCTGCGTATTATGTGATGTTCGGTTCTTAGGGGTGGCCGGCTTCCGGGCGCAGTGTTATTGAGATGACTTGCGTAGGGAAATGCAACTGAATTTTCGGGGCTAAACCAACCAACATAAAGAGGCGCAAACACGATGGTGAAGGAGTATATTAATCTGAACAAAATTAGCCGAATGGTTTGATCCCACAGCTGATAAGCACAACGGGTTTTAGCCCGTGGTCCTCATTCACGCTTCACAAAGCTATTGCCCTAGATTTTTCATAGCGTGGGTAACACCTTTTATGATACCCAATATTGTGCCAAATATGGTTGTGACTTCTGAAACAAGCCAACATCTTGATGGATAAATTTTAGGCGGCAGCGCTAAGCTCAACTGCCACGTAGCGCTTCAGGAAACGAAGCTTGAGCACGAGAAGCGTGGACGAATTGGCTCTTTTCGAAGAGTGCGGTGACATCAAAAAACAGTCAGTAACGACGTGCCTTCGACCCCAAATTTCATCCGAATAACTAACTGAGATCACCGCATTAGAACAAGGAAACATCGGTGGATTACCTTATCAACTGCCCGAATCGCTAAACTCCAAATCCAGTACACCACATTCAGGCCTTAGCCAAGTACAAACTCAAGTGGATTTAGTGAGCTTAACACTTGGATTTGCTGCGTTCCAAGTGATGTGGCGTCTTGCTGATCATGGGACTTCTTGAGCACACCAAGGTGAGTGCGATGACTGCACTGAGTGGAAACGGGTTTTCTTTCACAAACCTACATCCTGGTTTGTCGGTGGTAAACATTTCATCAAAGAGACCGACTGTCAGCCAAAGCGCATGAGGAACAACCGCGATGCAAACAGAAGTGCATTGATATTTTATGCCTCGCTTTCCAGGACTGGCATGATCAAGCGGCTGCAAACAACTTGCCAAACGTTAGGCGGTGGCCTGCTTCCTGTCAATTGGCGGCATTCCGCACCCATGTGTGATCCTGCGCTACTTACACCTGGTAACTGTTGAAGTTGATTTGTCTTGCCAGGTGACCACAAGTGGGCAGACATATGTACACAATGTCCTATGTTTCTGATGAACAATGACAGTCGTCTGTTTTTATGTCATTTAGATGAATGATTTATATCGGATGAAGAAGGACCAAATGAAATTCTTGGAAGCCGGCTTGCTGTAATATGTTTAAAAACACGCCACAGCGGAATAAATGATTATTTGCCCATGGTCGGTCCTGTGGTTCAACCCAGGGGTGAGAATTATGCCCGAAACCTACGGAAGGAAATTTCTGGAACCCGGTTCAGCTCGAAACCCGATACGAGACATATACTCGTCAAAGGATATGGAATGAAGAACGGTACACATAAAAATAATCGATAATCACTGGTATGGTGCCTATGCGTATAGCTGTTTTACCAGTTAAGTATTTCGGAAACAACATTGTGTCCTTTGTGTCCGTTTTTCACTTGTACCCTTTTTGAACTTGTCACCTTTTTTCACTTGTGCCTTTCAGGTGAACGACAGCCACTGAAAGACAAGAACAAAACCGACCCGCAAAACTTGGTCAAAAGTCTCGATCCTGTGTATCAATTTGTGAATCTGTGAATTTGTGACCTCTTTGTGATATGTATATCATAATATGGCTCAGTACGACCAAGAACTGATTGTATCGCACAGAATTCCATTAAAATCCTTGCAAAATAGGTAAACGCTCCCACAACTAACGAGATTTTACCCGACCACACGAGCGTTATACCCTCATCTAGAGGGCACACTTACTGCATCAATGCTTTATATAATGACCTTGAGTTCAGCTGCATTATTTTGAACAAAAATCCTTCCGGACCTAAGGCTTTAACGTGTTATCGCCCCATAGCACCTCTGAGTTATAGCATATAATGTGCAAAGATTGTTTGAATCGTGGAAAGTGATAACTTTTTCGGGATACTGTGTGTCGGATGATTATAGAATCCATTTTTGTGTCAACGGCTTGAACAGGAATGGAAACAGAAACGGAAAAGTCGGTAAGTGTGGGATGACAAATATCAACGTACTTCAAAAACTGGCCACTTTTATCACTTTGAAAATTCGTTGCTAGTTCAATAGCACTCCCACTGCATCATAGCGACATGGGGGTAGACTGATTAACACAAGTTATTCAATCTAAATAAAATGGTTAGCCTTTGTCTTAACTTATGAACTTATGAATTGCTTTTGAGAACTGAAACTTGAGGACCTAGTGTAGTTATCTTATCTTAGCAGTCACCACGAATGGCAGTAATGTTTTAGTACATGAGCAGCCTGCGCTACAGCCTTCTTATCTTAGTCTTTACCTACACCTCAAAAGCTGGCGGCTCTGCTGCTTTAAAAAGTGGCTTTCCGCACAAGTTAAGGACTCAGATAGCGTCTTGGTTATTATGGATGACTGGAGCTTGTTTAGATGGTCAACTTAAGTCTACAGCAAAGGTTAAGGAAACGGCAAACGCCTTCTGCATTTTGGTGACCACCGCAGACTGCGCGCAACACTTACTTTCGAAACAGTTGGGGCCGCCTGGACACATGATGCCCTGCACATGCAAGCAGATTATTAATACAGTACCACTAACTGTAGTTAAATCCTGTCCGGTGAAGATTTCTTCGGCCGTTTTGGAAATACGTAAACTGCTCGTACCTGTCCGGGTCAGTGAGAAGTTCTCAAGTCCAATTATGAAGCAACCCAAACAGAATCACCTACTAAACATCGTCTGAGATTTATCATTTCTGGTAAGTGTTATTCATAACCCTGAAAGCGGTCGTGAACATCATTTTGTGGAGCGACACAATCAGTCACATGAAGTTATTGGAACTTGAGTAACACTACAGATTTCTTCAGCTATCAGGCACTCGTTCTTGATGGCTGAGAGCATACCAGAACTTGAAGCATTGTTAGACGTCAAGTGAAAACGGAATAGAGCATGGATCGAGAAACCTAGTGATCCCAAAAACTGGAGAGATGAAAGAAACTGGAATCTCTTGGAATGTGCAACTATTGCAGGCAACAAGCCAAAAACACATAAGGCGAGCCAAATTATGAATACAAAGCGGCTGATTAATCTTTTAATAAGAAGGCATGTATGGTTGAGATACACGTGTTCAAATTTCTGCTTGGATGGATTTATTAAAAAGTATAAAAGCTAACGAATATCGGTGACTTTTATGTTGTTAGTCACAATCTAGACCTCCTGGCCCAGCGTTGGATGTACAAGTTTCCGGAATGTTAGTTACAAAATAACGTAAAGTACACTATCCGTCCTGATTTTGCATCCCATTTTTTGTAAGGCAGTACAATGTCAGTGTTTTCGATTGATGTTGCTGTCTGATACGTGGACTAATGATGATGTTAACAGATATTTGTCGTAAACATATGCATATTTACCTTAGTATGCGGAATATGTTTGCGTCTTACATGACCATGAACTTCTGTTTTTGTGTTATTTGAACTGCGCCTGACGAACGAGTTTTGAAGCTTGTTAGCTTTTTCCCCCCTAATCTCAGATAACAGTGATTCAGAGACTTTGTGACAACTCTGCGATTCAAAGTCACAGAGAGTCAATAGATTTTTAAAAAAGTTTACTTCTTGTCCACTATAATGGAATATTTCATTATGATGGGATAACAATAGCAACTAGAACAGCGCACAACCTGAGTTACAGCATTGCTCAGCATAACTGTAGTTAGGGGACATGTACCACAAATCCATGTTTTGTAACGCATTGTTGCGGTGCAACCCCAACAGAGTGGCTTTGATCGGAATCTATAACACAGCCACAAAACCGAGTCCATGAAATTATGAAGCTTTTGAGATAATCTTTTCTGTATGGATTTACTCTTAGTAGAAGGGCCTTCAATGATTCGTTAACGCTTCACACTTAGCTCTGTACCTTCGATCTAAGTTTTTTTTAACTTTAGGCAAATATAATTTTTTGTGAGAGCTCTGTTAATAGACACTTGCTATTGCTTACAAACTTCTATCCTCCGCCAACTTCGTTCAAGCCATAGGTAATAGAAGTCACCAGTGCCAATCAGAATGCTTCACCAAACGCTTAAATTATCCAAATATATGACACCGTTATCCCTCATATTCTATGGGCATTAATTATTTTGCTTATTAAAGAGTATTATGTGAGGTGTCCACCTTACGTTCTCTATCATTTCAACCAAGAGTGGTTCAGAAATATTTCCCTTCTTTCCGTTCTCATAGAAATTTGGGTTTTTAATACACAAATGGTAGGAAAGACGTGTGAGCAGCAGTGGTTATTCTTCTGCATTCCACCACACTGTGTTTTCGTATTGCTCTCAGAATCTCCAGCTGCCTTTTCTTATCCGTCTATCACTCACCGGCAAGAAATATTTATAATGATAATTGTGATTAACTTGAATTTGACTTTGTGTCGCATTCTTGAGGTGTCAGTCTCAATATATCTGAATCAAAGCCTCACCTATACTAACACCGGATCACTCAATCACATTCTAGTGCAAATAATGGGACAGTATTTGTCGCCGTTTTTGTGAGACCAAAAAAAATTTTGAACTGCAAAGTCTCCTGCGGATGCAACTCAGTGCCACGTTTCATTCTGATGCATCCCTAACTTGTCCAATTCAACATAGGCACATCCTTACTGTGATACGCCACACTCACTAGAAGACCATGGGTATTTTTGGTGAGGTTTATTCTCAGTACATTTTACTTGCGGCCAAATTTGCTTTTGGTGCAACATGGGATGATTATTGTTTCTGATGCTCCAAGGGTAGCGGATTACCCTACTCCCGAACCGGGAACATTAGTTAGATTTGAAACTATAAATATGGCACTCTTTAGCCACTAAAACTGTCCTACTGTGGTTACAATGCTGTTAATGAGGAGGTTGGCGGAACAGACAATTACTGAAATCCTGTGCTGCAAGTAGACCATTTAGGTCGCTGACCTGGCGCACAGTACGATAATAAAGAAACTTGAGGAATAGGCTTATCAGAAGTTTGGCAGATTACCAGGTAACAGGTCTACAGTGACCTTCCTACAGCAGGGAATTAAAATTATTGGCAAGCGGATGACTGGCAATGTATCGTTATGCCCACCAACGCTTTTGCGTGTAGCCACTCCAATGGGAAAACACTCCCTCTAACTTGGTTTCTTACTCCTATTAGGCCTTTAAAAAATCAACTGAATCTTGTTAAAAATAGACAACAAATTCTCCGAACCATTCTGCCTCCTCGCCAGACTCCTGCTTTTAATGGATGCTTTGAATTAAGCCCAGTGTCTACAGTACCCATTACGATAGCAATCATCAACCCAACCATGGAAGTTCCTGGTCTTTCCTGTCCACTGCGCTATAATGAAATAATTTATTTTGAAGCTTCAAGCTAGATATCATTCATGGAGTTTGACCCATTTGGGTAGCTGGTGCATTTCACATAGAACAGAAACAGCGAATATGGTATTGAAAAATGTGTGTACATGCGCATTGCAATATTACCCGTCAAAGTATAAAATGCTGGCTAAAAATAACAACTGGACATTTCAAAGCACACGTGCCAGAAATGAAGATGAGGCATTAATAGAATTCATCGGCAGAAAAGAATGTCACAGAAGTTTCGTCGAAAAGTCTCCTTCAAAGATGAGTCCAACGCCTATGTCGAAAATGGTAACAGAGCTATCCAGAATAAGCAGTTTTTTTCAGTTATATTTAATTTCCATAGGATTTTCTCACATGCCTAATCAGTGAGGATACTTTGGATAATTTTTGGTTTTTGATCAAGGCGATGACGTTTAACTGGCTCTCTTTACATGACGCCTTCACCACAGTGGAGGTTCTTAGGCTTCAGTATAATCTATCAGACAATAACAAATTAATTAAGAAGCGTAAAATGGGGTAAATTAGAAGAAAATATCACATAAACGACCAGACTTAATTGCCAAAAACGGCTATCGTATAACAGAATGAATGATTTCGATATAAAAGAATGAAGAGGTTTGGTTATTAACTAACGTGAACGGTTACTTTTATGAATATCTTTTTACGTAATCAATATAGAAGCTGGCGGCCAGTTTAGAGGCATCCGTATGGAGTGCGATTCCTGACTTTGGAGCAACAGACCACGGTTTCCTCAACATAAGAGTACACAAGGACTAATGAATAATGATATTCTTTAGACAGAACAGACCTGATATATGAGACTGTACTAAATACTTGTGCCGGATGCATAAAATGGGATAGTCGTTACTGTATATTTTGGCATAATATTTCATGCGATGCAATACTGTCCACAAGAAAAAAGCAATGGATGCACTTTCAGGGTTACTCACCGGCACAGTTTGTGCGCAGGTAGATGATTAGCTCTATTACTAAAACCGGTAACTTACGGAGGGTCTGAAGGCAGAAACGGCTCTTAAAAGAAAAGACATACCGAAAATTCTGGCTTGCAGCCAAGTGTTTTAAAACGGTATACTGAAGTTCAATATTTTCAACTTTCTGTATGTGCACGCACCCGGAATGTCATATCATCTGACTAGACCGTTGCCCAAATCCTATCATACCAACCGCAATGATTACCCACCATTCGAAACGAGATAATTTATTTCCTAGTGGAAGCTCCTGACACGCGTTTGAATTATTATTCACCGGTTGTGTGCATTTGTTTCTTTCCTAGAGAACTTCGACCAGGAGTGTTTTTAGAAATAAACAAAACGGACACACAGCAGTATGTGGATCACTATCACGATGCTCATTTGCAGTGAATTTCAATCTTTTCTGAGTGATTCTGAAACAGTACCGGTTAATTCGTGGACGACATTTTTGCAATCGATCAGCTGGTAAATTTTCGGTGGTTGTATTCAAATGCGAGGCAATTTTAATATCAGTCGTGATGACTGGTACGTCATACAAAAATTCTTTATTTCTGAACGGCTATTGGTGATTGGCACTTGCACAAGGGACTATCACTCGCAAATATGCAAATAAATGCTTTGGAACGCAAAACAGCAGGG